AACAATAAATACCCTTAGGAGTACGAAATGCAGTGAGCTCCTCATCCTCAGGTGCCACTCGAATTTGATTATATCCAGAAGAGCTATTCATAAACGACAGAACTTCATGCCCAGTAGTTGCATCAATCATGAGCTCAGTGATCGGTAAAGGAAAGTCATCTTTAGGACAAGCATTGTTAAGATCCCTGAAATCGACACAGATGCGGATTTGCCCATTCTTCTTTCGCACGGGCACGATACTCGAAATCCATGTGGGATATTTAACTTCACGACTAAACCCGGCTTCAATAAGCTTATTGACTTCAATTTCGATCAACGGAATCAAATCGGGTGTAAATCGCCGTTGTGCTTGCTTCACTGGTCGAACTCCCTTTTTAACAGCCAAATGGTGAACGGCCACTTTTGGGTCTAAACCCGGCATTTCTTTATAAGTCCATGCAAAAATATCTTGATACTCCCGCAATAGTTCAATATATGCTTTCTCTTCGTCAGGACTCAGTGAAGCACTTACATATATTGGACGTGGGTCCTCTGAAGTACCAAGATTGATCTCCTTTAGATCATCCACAGTGGCCTTAACACCTTCCTCCAATTCAGGCGGAGCGTCTTCAGCATCTTTTTCTTCTTCGGCGAGTCACCGTCAATTATGATTATATGATTGCATGAAGTAACACTCTCTTCATCCTCCTCTTTTGGTCTTGTGTACACCACGGTGTGCTCCCTGACCCTCAATTCGGTCCCACACTTTATTACAAGGTCTGTGCATCTTCTCATTCTCGAAGGAATGATACTACCAAATTTATGAGAACCATTAGAAGGTTTTTCAAGATTTTACAATGACTTTGCCATTTTTCCTTTACTCTTATGAGAGTTTTGAGGCTTTTGTCTTCTTTGTGGTCCTAATCTCTTAAAAATAGATACCCGTGGAGTTTTATTCTCCTTTTCATAAAAAGCTTGAAATTTACCAACTATTTGAGAAGACTCATCCTCCACAGCAATATATTGGCTACTAACTCTATTGATCTTGATGCGGATTGGTGTAGGAGAGGAGTAGCCAAGGCCAAATTTGGGATTTTCGACGGCGTATCCCTTTTCCTTCAACATCTTTTGGGTAGAATTCAACCCATGAATCATGTCACTAGTAGATTGACGTGATGGAACATTTAACACCGCAGATTCTTTGAGATCGTATCCAGCCTTAGCGAGAAGCTTATAAGCGATAGGATCAAAACCTTCAACGGTTCTTGACTTTGGTATGGTGTCTTGTTCAAATTCAGATTTTTTGCTTAAAAGGTTAGACCTTTTAAGTTGAGAAGATGACGCTTTTTTTGTATCAAGATGAGCTACCGAAAGAGTCAAATCTTTTAGAGTTTCATGCTGAATTGCAGGTGACTGTCCCTGTTCCATTCTTGATTTGGGAGGGCAACGAAAGACAACTGATTCATTGTTTGGCAATGAAACATCAGTTTCTTCATGAACTTCCTCTTTTGATTTCGAAATCATCATTTTCTCCCCTTTTGCATTTGGAGATTCGGGGTTCTGGATTTTATCCCCAGATAGAGGTTGCTCAGATTTATCCTTCGCAATGTGTTTCTTGACGTAAAATTTGGCATCAGCAATATACGCTTCCGCCTCAGTGAAAGGATTGTCATCGGCTTTCACACTTCTTGTCACTCCATTTCGGCAGTATTTGAAACATTGATGAAGGGTTGAAGGTACAACTCCATTTTCATGAATCCAGGGCCTTTCCAACAGTACATTGTATGTTGTTTTAGCATCTATCACATACAACAGTGCTCTGGACGTCATGTCATCAATGACTATCTCCAAATTTAGTGATCCAAGAGCTCTTTGCCCTCCTTGATTGAAGCCTTGAATCATCAGTCGGTTATTGGAGAGTTCATCAACCGGGATACCAAGCTCCTTCAGAGTTTTTAAAGGGAGAATATTGACTGCGGAACCTCCATCTATCAACATTCTATTTACTTTTTGCTCCTTTGCATAACCAGTCACAAACAAAGGACGGTTATGCGGTGTTGACCCAAGCAACAAGTCTTCACTAGTAAAAGTGATACTTGTGACGTTCACCTCTTCATTGCTGGTAGGCACACGACCTTCTTCATTGCCGGTGGACGCACGGTCTATCTCACAGAGAGATTCGCGAGTATTATTTTTTTGTTCCTCGATATGATCTACTCGCGTTGTGTGACTTGCAACCACATCAACATCAAAGAATTCTTTTGGCAAAAATTCTTTTAAAGTGATAGGAGTTCGCGACTTTTGCTTGAAGATTCGACCTTCTTGAAGATTACGACAGTCATTAGTTTTCTTTACGTCCTTCTCTTTTTCCTTCCAGATCACCGTACTTCTTGTTAAGACCTTGCTCGCCTTACTAGATGGACAAGACTTTCGCCTCCTTTTTCGCGTGACTAGAGTCCACCCTTCATCATCCACATCAGGCTGTAGCGCCTTTTCATCTTCATATACATGTTCCTGAAGAGTTGAAGGAGCACCTTCTTGTTTGATTTCTATAGGGTCAAGTGATCCAAATTGAATTATTGGCAATACAGGTACCATGACCCTTTTATCCTCCATGGACTGCAGGGAACCAATGGACGTTTGATTCACACTCGCCTTGTCTTCTTCAAGGAGAATTTTCCCTTGTCTTGCCAACTCCATTACTTTGTCTTTGAAGACAAAGTATTTTTGAATGGGATGCCCAACCAATCGGTAATACTTACAATAGTTTGGATCGTCAGTGTTCCTGGCCTCATCAGGTCGCTTCATCTCAGGAAGCGTGATCAAGTTTATATTTAACAGATCGTCAAACATACCAGGGACATCAAAATCAAGAAAAGGGTAGTCTTTGTCTTGCATCCCCTTGAGAGTCGGCTTCCTCTTTCCTTGCTCTTGATGTGCATTGCTCTTCCTGTCTTCTTCCCTAGCAGTTTTGGGAACAACTTTAAAAGGTGTTATTCTTGTGGCCATAGCCTCCTTCCTTTCATTTTTGATTGGTGGTTTGCCCCTTTTCCTCGCTTCTTGTCTCTCCTTAGCCTTGTGAGGGTCAGGAACTGGCGGTTCTTGTCCATCAAGATTAATTTCCAACTTATGGGCTTTTGTGGACAATTCATCAAACGTTTCTGGCTGTACATCTTGTAAGATGTATCTGAGTCCTCAGTGCATACCTTGAATACACATCTCGATCGCGGAAGATTCAGAAATTCGATCTTTGCAATTTAAGCTCAGATTCCTCCAACGGTCGATAAAATCAATGACAGGTTCACTCTTCCATTGACATGTATTAGAGAGTTCAGTCATGCTGACAGTTTTCTTTGTGCTATAGAAGCGACTAAGAAATTCATGCTCTAACTGCTCTCAACTATCAATAGTTCCAGACTCCAGATCTGTATACCAATCAAAGGCATTTCCCTTCAACGAGCGAACAAACTGCTTAACGAGCAAGTCACTATCAGTGCCCGCATTGTTACAAGTTTCCACGAAGTGTGCAATATGTTGCTTAGGGTTGCCCTTACCATCAAATTGTTGAAATTTTGGAGGTTGATATCCCACATGCATCTTCAAACTTTCCACTCTAGCGGTGTAAGGTTTGGTGTAACCAATATATGACTTGGCACTTCCACCAATCTTGTCCTTGATTGTGCCTTCGATGAATTCCTTCAAATTATCAACATGAATGGTGCCATCAGGGGAGATTGAAAATTCCTTTGCGGCTTGTGACTTCGCATCCTCTTTCTCCTTCTCCCTTGATGACGAGTTCCCTTCATCTTGCACTTTGAATTTCTGTTTGGACATACTAAGGCTATTTTCGCCTATATTTTCCACCATATCCATTAATTTGACTATCTTGGCATCTTGACTTTGCGCATGCACTACTAGCCCTTTAACAATTTTGGCTAGATTCGAGATCTGGTCTTCCACAGTTGTGGTATTGGTCATCATGACGGGCATCACCACAGAGGCAGCCGAATCACTTGGGCTATCAATGGATTCATCATGGGCTCCTTTCTTGTTGGGAAGCATCTTGAGATTTGTTTCTTCAGTCAAAACGTTCGCCTTAGCCCTTTCTGCTAACTTCTTGGCCTTGCTCCTTGTCAGATGTGCAGTATACTGCGTCTCTTGAATTGTTGAGACATCGGCCACTAAGCCTTCAAGAGAAAAGTTCACCTTCTTGAACTCCATTGAATTTTGAAACTGGTAAGTTACTGGAAGAAAAGAGATGAGAGGCAGAGATGGTCCCACCGGGCGTGCCAGAAATTTGTAAGCACAAATTTTGTTGCCTAAAATAAAAGACAAGAAAACTTGTACAAATATCAAATTTATTAAATCAAATAATAAGCGGGTTACAATCTCTGAAAGTTCCTGAATCAAAGAAATTAATCCCCTGATTCTTTTCTTCGAATAGCTTCAATTGAAGGGCCGAAAAGACTTGTTCTCCAATCGAAAGGGTGTTTCCTACAATTTCGGCATAGAAAACGATTGATTTGATGATGGCGTCAAACACTTGGAACTTCAAGTCTTCAACACCGATAGCAGGAGGATTTGTTTGACTTGATTTGGACTTGGATTTGAGGAAGAAAGCGCTTGAGGGAATTTGACAGAATTTCTTCGAATGTTAGGGATTTTTCTATATCTTTGCCTTGAGAGAAGACCTCTATTTATAGCCAAAATATGTAGGCTAGGTCTTCAAGAAAACCCTCAGAATCTTCCTGCATTTTGGATCACTTGTTACTCAAGAAATCCATTTAACTTGGGCTTAAATAATGGGCCAACCCAAATAGTCCATTGTGAATTAATAAATCAATTAATTCACTCTAACTTAAATGGACACTATGAATTTAATTTGATTTAATAGCCCATATAATATTGGCCCAATTTGCCGGTCCAAAACATAATCGACTTCTATAATTTAATTTAATTTATTCAAGATCAATTTAATAAATCTCGACTAAATAAATTAAATAAAATTTCTTTGTCTACAGTGATATCATGGACTATTTTGATGAAGATTTCACTACTGGACTTGGAGAAGATCTGGAAAGCAATTTGTCTGCTGTTTCAGTCATGGAAGCTCCTCCAATCAGTATTGAAATCCGAGAACCACAGCAGAGTTCTAATCGCTGTAACTCGGCAGCCACCCTTGAAAACATGCCAAATCATCATAATCAGCCAATCATCCTTACTTTTGGGAATCCAAGCACGCCAGAAATAAATCCTCAACCATTAAATCTAGAGGATGATAGAGTCGTGTCTGAGGTTTTGACATCCCATGGTTCATTTGTAAATCTTGAGGAGGAAGCCCAAAATGCACGGAAGAAAAAGAAAACAGGCGGTCGGGTTAGGCCAGCATTGCAGATTCATGATCACATTTTAGCAGAAAGAAAGCACCGCGAGCAGCTCAGCCAGGGATTTGTAGCTCTATCAGCCATTGTTCCCGGCCTCAAGAAGGTTTGTAATATTTCCAAGAATCCAAATTTTGAAATAAAGAAAATAAACAGACAAAAATTTTTCTATCATTGTGATGTTTCAAATGTTTAATGCAACCAAATTTTGTGATGTCATGTCACACGTCAAAGGGGGCTAATTTAATTAATCCCACGACAAGTTATTCAAATGTAAAGTGTGCTGTTGATTTTCCGGATCGCGATTACTATAAAGAAACAGCATAACCTTCTATCATTGCTCTCTCTCTCTCTCTCTCTGTTATACACAACTACTCTATTAGTAGTTGTTTTTAGCCACTAGGCTTAATTTTGCTTTTTTTTTTTGGAGCTTCACATAGTTTTGGTTACCAAGATCTTATTCTTATTGCAGATGGATAAAACTTCTGTTCTTGGAGATGCTATCATTTACTTGAAACATCTTCAGGAAAGAGTGAAGACGCTCGAGGAGCAAGTTGCGCAACAAACCATGCAGTCTGTCGTTCTTGTGAAGAGATCACAGCTTTTAGTTGAAGATGAAGGATCTTCTGATGATACGGGCGGCCCTGATGAGCAGCCACTCCCGGAAATAGAGGCAAAAATGCGCAATAGGAACATTCTTCTCAGGATTCACTGCGAAAAGCATAAAGGGGTTCTGGTTCAAATTCTTTCCGAGGTAGAGAAACACAATCTTGCTGTCATGAACACGTGCGTGGCTCCGTTCGGAAATTTGGCTCTTGATATTACCATAATTACTGAGGTGAGTTTAGCAGTCAAAAGAAATTTTTTCCCTCGGGATTTTGTTGACATGAATATTTAATGTGATGATACATGGTTATACATAAAGAATTGCAGCAGACGTGAGGTAGACTTCCACATGCTAGAAGCAAGGTAAAAATATTGAAAAAGAGATATTGTTGCTGGGGGATTTGAAGTTTTGAACCAGCAAATCTCACCCCGAGAGAGCTAGTCACCAATTTTTATTTTAGATACTCTATTAGTAATTTTCAATGTTTACAATATGTTCTAAGTATTGATTTCATTAAATCTTTCCAGATGGAAAAAGAATTCAGCCTGACGATACAAGAATTAGTTAAAATTCTTGGATCCGCTCTCCATCGGGGGACGGTGGCCGATTAAGAGCCCCCGGTTGGACCGCCAAGAGAACTGTTCCATATCCTATGGGGTATGGAATTCCTGATAAGAAGTTTATATAAAGAATTCCTGATATAGAGTATGGACCCCAAGAAATCAAGCTGTTGATGACTGATGGTGAAGAAGACAGACGACGTTCACGGGCCATGCTTTGAGATTGACAACATATGGATGCATATGCATATTAGTACTTGCCCCGTTTTAATGATCAGGAATGAAAATTACTATCACTAAAAAATAAATAAAAGGCCTACGTCCTCGAGGGTCTCGTGAGCTTTCAATTGATTTTCGTGTGTAGCTATTTGGCATTGCACGTAGATGATACAAATGTACAAAATGTTACTGGTTCCCTTTAGATTACTATGAAGTATTTTGGTAAATTTTTGGGTTTGTTTAGATTTTTTTTTTTTTTGATGTTTTCACAAATTTTGATTTGTATCGACTATTTTGAGTAGCTTTAGAAGCTTTTGATGTAGACATTATAACACTTGTTATGATTTAATGTATAGTTGTATGCCAGACAATAATAATAATAAGAAAAAAAGGTGGTACAAAAGCAAAAAATGATTGTAGCACTGTTAGCATATCCTGTCAAGGAATTTTCTTCGGTTGATATTCCACTTATTAGGGCCCATTAATTTGATGATGAAAGTTTTCTTTTTTTTTTTTTTATTCCCTTCATAATCAAGAAAGAGAATAATTGTTTCTTTTATTTCCTAATGTTCAATCAAAATCAAAACATGAGATGTTCTTTACAATAATACACGGCTTATGATTAACGACTTAGTCAATCCACGTGTTTAGAAAAGCCATTATTAGCTGATGTCTGATGATTAGCAAGAATTGACAAAGTCTGCATTCTGGTCATTGATTGATGAATCTCACAAGTCGTGTGGACAGTACTCTTCGACATCATGTGATATTATCGGGTGCTACAACGTGTTAAAGTACACTTTGATGCCCACAACAGCAATGAGATGTTTTTGCATGATGAATCTTGAGTAGCCAAATACTTGCTAATATATTTCAATTACCAAGAACTATACAAGTTTGAATAGCCATTTCCCTTGAGCTTCTTCCCAGTATGTCATTCTGAAACTTCCAGTCCTTTTTGGCCCTCCTGTGTCGTGGTTTAATTTTCGGGGGTGAGATCTTGTGCAGTAATTCCATTGTTGCAACCCTTATCTGCACTGGAATTACTTCCCCATTATTGTCACCCGGAGGATACTGTTACATAAAGAAGGAATAGTTTCTTTATTTATTTATGAAGATCCAATGCACCCTGTTCCAACTTAATTTTGTTGAAAACAACATACAAAATTACACAGAAGAATGCTGTCTATCCTAAAGGACTAAATGCTGTTGACAGGACAACACTAATTCAACAATAAATAAATAAACACCGTAGTACTAATTTACTTGAGTACCACAGAGGTGGAAAATTTTCTTTCAAGCATATCATATGTGCAAAAATAAGACTTTTAAAATTTAAACAAAGATTATAGGACCTGTTTGTGTTAAAAAAAAAAAATTTACACCACCTGTGTAAGAATGTGTAATTCTAACAGTGTTAATAATTGTAGATGAAAAATGATCGGAGAATCCATCTCACATGCCCATGTCCTGGGTCTTGAGAAGACAAAGCACTTGTAACCATGTGTCAGAGAAAAAGAAAGCACTTGCAAGTGTAACCTGATTGGTTCTACACAAACCCACTTTGGACAAACTTCAATAATTTTTTTTTTTTTTTATTTATAGAGAGACTTCAAACTTTACAAAAGGGGAAGGGAAAAAGGATTGGGTTTGAGAATCAAATTAAGAACTTTACGATCACCTGATCAATTTCCCTACCAATTTAGTTGGATTATAATTTGACCAATACAATTATTAACCTACATATAATATGTTTGGTTCTTCAACATTACCCTAATACATACTCAAAAGTGATTATGGAATGTTAACCGTTTAATTTGTGTGTATGTTTCTGTATGTGGTTCCACTGTTCAATTTCAAGAAAATTTTAAGCAATCTTTAGTATGGTAGGTTGCCTTGATTTGACTTTCTAGGCTAATAATAACCATTTATCTTAAACACTATGCAGATCTCGTGGATGACCCCTAAGCTATATCTAGCATAAACCACCACAATGACTTGCGACCTAAGATGAAGACTGATCTAGCAGTTAAACACTATGCTAAGACCATATTATTGTTAGAAATCAAGCAATTAAAAAGAAACAATCATGTCAAATCACCTATCAAGATATAGACCATAATAGAATCCGATCCTCCAATCTCAACTCTCCTATATTATCTATCTACGGTATACGTCTGTCTGTTCAACTTCAATCATGTCTGTGTTCAAACTTAAACAAGTATTGTCCAAAATGTTTCATAACTTGTAAATCAGGTAATTTGATATGATACCTATTGGTGCACCTGATTAAACAATGTTTAGTGTGAACTAGATTGGTCAGAGAGCATATGTGCAGGACATTCTATATGAACATGCTGCACAAAGTTGAGCTTCTTTTTTCTTTTGAGAATAAGCCGTTCCTACCGGCCATTATACAAATATTGATCTGTAGTATCATCCTAAATTCTAGAAACCCAATATATAGCCAACAGTTAGCAATCTGCAGTTGGCAAATGGCAATTGAAATCGTGAAATGTACCATGCAGCAACCAAAAAATTGCACAACGCCAAGAGATTCATGGGTTTGGCTCAACTCGTCCCAGAACTTCAAAGCAGACTAACTAGCAAATACAAATGGCTGGTGGTTCCCTTGAGGCTTGAATGACAAAGACTCGAGAGAGCGTAATAGAACACTATATCCTCTTGCATGTGTCCGTACCAACAATTGCAACAAGCCAACAGCCCTTGATCGGTCACATCATGGCAGCTAATTAAAGCACATTTTAACTAATTCCGAAAGTTTTTATTGCTACACCACTAGTATTTCCATTTTCTTTTGGCACTATTAATTGCTAAAGGAAACTCAGTTGATTTTTATTTTTATGACCAGTTCATCTGGCTCTCATCATCTCTTGTTCTTCCAGGAAACTTTCTTGAGGATTTACTTTGAAGAAAAAAAAATCTAACACTTGGACAAATCCAAGCTTCAACAACCGCCCCCCCCCCCCCCAAAACCCCTTTCTAAGTATTAGCTGTTGAAACAAATTCAAGCTCTTTGTGCGGCAAATGATGATTGCATTATTTGGATCTACTTTTTCGTTGATTTTTTCCAAGCACTCATTTATAATAAATTCTCTTTTCTCTTTGTTTTTCTAGTGGTTTTTGCATAATGAAGTCGGAGAATGCATATGAGCCTATGAAATTGTAACATGTAGTAGTTTTTTACTTCGAAGCTAAGGTATTTGGTAGCAGAGGATGTTCAGTTATGAATTTCGCTTCCTCTCCACTCAAAGGTGTCTTGAATATGATCACTGGATTTTTGTTCCATCTCCCATATATCGCCCTTTCTACCTAAAATTTGGATCCGCATTAAAAGACCACCACAGCATATAGTTGATGCAGCAAGCTTGTGCTTCTCCCCTCATAACTTCTTTACTATTAGACAACAACAGTTTGGCCCTTTATTTTCCTCACGTCGCAATCTTCGAAAATGAAAGATGTAAAGAGATGTTAAGGTAATTATACTCTGATGATTTGATTTTCGCATAATAATCATCTAGAAGAGAAAATCAATTTTCCTCCAAGTCGTGTGCAGTATAATAAGTATGTAGTAGTAATTGCTTCACAAGCAAATTCTTTCCGAATTTTACTTTGATAAAGTAATGCACATGGCAGCAAAATGTTACCAATGAATCAGAACTTAGAATAATAAAGTAAGCAAATGGGAAAAAAAAATTAAGTTCAAATTAATCTAATGATTGGGAATAAGACTCTTAGTTGGATTTCAACAAACATTTACTGGATGAATTGGTCGGCCTGCACGCTTGCAAGTTAGAAAGCCCTTCAGGATAAGTTAACAAATAGAATTGATGGCAGTAAAGTTATTCTTCAAAATTTTGTTAGAAATGCAATGCCGTAGACAAGAAAAGCTGAAAAGCTCTTCCTATAAAAATAACAATCCGTGACCAACAAAGTAATCCATGCTAATTTTGTAACTTAGAGAACACTATTAATTAGTAGTAAATTAGGCATCCAATCATATCATAAATAGTACGTTTTCAATGTATGCTGTGTTTTGTGATGGCCCGTTTTTCACAATTATACATCAAAGATTAACTTCTCAAGACAATTACTGAACATATTTAATTCACCATCTTCTACGCTGTTGGCAGTATAGAACATGACAACATTTTAGATATGCCAGATTACTAAAGCCAACACTTGATTTGAAGCAAACTTGACCAGTTTCTAGGATCACACTTTGTAATTAAACTCATCAAGGAGGTAATAATAGTTCTGTTCATTTTTATCTTGTGAGGTGAGGATACAATACATAATCTTGATTTCCTAGTGAAAAGGTGAGGCACCGGAGCTTGGGGAATAGAACAAAGGGGGTTCACATGGTGGGGTGAGAAGGGTGTCCTTAGGAGGGTGGTCCATTATCCCTCACGTTTTTCCCAGTTGAATGTTAATTGTCTTGCTTCGGCATCTTTCCTTTCCATACTTAGCCGTCACGCTTTTTGTGGCTTGGTATGTATGTCGCTTTCTTCCGTGTATTCTCTCTTCAAGACAGCTCACTAGTTTGGATTTTTTCTTTTCTTTTCTTTTGTTTTTGGCCCCCCTCTGTCTTTTTGTTGAACTCAACGTCACCTTGTCATCAACCCTTTCTTCCTTGTTTCCAACGTCACCTTGTCACTTCCCTTGTAAAGTATATATTTTACTTCAGCGGATGTAAATTGTGAAACGACTTCAATCATAAGCTTCTTGAAGTTATTTTCCAGCCACCATCCTGTCTCTTTTTTGGCCCTTGTTTGCTGCCTCTATGTTGTCTAAAAAACCTCCAGCAAAATTCAACGCCTACGTCCCCCAGGCCGCAGCTCTATTCAACCCGTATTCTTCTTTCCATGCCCATGCACTGAAAAACCCTTGCACATTAGCCTACATCATCATGAGCCAAAGTCATGGAAGACTAGTGCAAAGGAATTAGGTCTATAGAAACAGCGTGGATTGGACAAAAAGAGAAGATTTCTGGTAGAAAAGAGAGAATACAACTCTAAAACTTTTACAAAGGGGTAAAGATGTTTTCAAATTGATTATACATGAGAGAGCTTGACAGTTTCGCGCGCTGATCACATAGAATTTCCATCTTTTGCTTTGACAATAGGAATCAATGATGAAATCTATTAGGTCTTTATGAACAAATTTTGGCTATAAAACTATTCTTGTAACACCTGCTTTTTATGTTCTTGTTATTATTTACCTTTGATCACATTTCATTTGATGGTGGAAATGGTGTTTGAGGCGGTGGAAGAGGGTTTTTGTGGTGGTTGTGATGCATTGATAGCAGACACTGAAGAGTAGTGTAATGGATATATATTGTAATGGCTATATTACTACTGAAAATTTATTTCCAAAACAGTGACCAAACACAAGAAAATTAGGGGAAAAACAAAATATTTTCTGAAAAATGACTTCTACTGAAATTATTTTCCCAAAGAAAACCTTTTTATGTCGGATCAAACAGACCCGAATTTATTTTCCTGTCTATTCGGCATAAAAGCTGCCCGCTTTACTTGTTGGAGGGCAGAACGAAAATGTCAGGTTTAATTCTTTCTCCATTATGGGGAAAAATAAAAGAAAGAATGCAAGGGACATTAATTATATCAAAATTTTGTAAAAAAATTACTAATTAAAAGAGATCAAGTTAAATCTGTCCCTAGATCTATGTACAAGAAGCTTACCTCAGCATTATATATTAGATTAATTTTTTCAATATTGATAGTATAAATACTTTATTTTACCAGTTGTTTAGATGCATGACACTTCATTGCTTCTAAATTGAAATCTTATTTTATATAACACTATGTATAAAAAATATGCATATCGTTGACGTAGGAAAAATTAATTCGTAATTGTAATGTTTGCTGCCAAATTTCCAATGATGCAAAACTAGTAATGATAACAATTAAGCTTCTCTAAACTTAAAGTCCCAGATGGTAAAATTTTTTAGTAACTATTCAAGCTTTTATTAGATTATGTAAAACTGGCTAGAATAATCCTAACGTATGCAACTACAAGGAAATAGCACAAAGTCACCAATAAAGGTATTTAGCCTCGTTTCCAGCTTGCCACAAGTCTCCCTTTCCAACGAACAACTTTGTCCCCAACACCCGCAACAATCTTCAACAAAATACAACCTTTTCCGCAACTTTCCACACACAAGTGGTCAATGCTAATTTTCTAATCTAATCTGCCCCACAAATTTATGTTGCCAATCGACATACCATTTGCAAGAACCTTACCAGAAACTTCTTACCAAGATGCCTTGGTAACAAACTGAGTGAGGAAATAGGAGGGAATGCAAGAAACACAATCAAACTAACTAAACTTGCCACTAGAATATATTCACCCAAGGAATTAAGCCAAGGCTTAAGAGTAAAGAGCAAGAAAAATTTATTCTTCTCAAGGAAGCCAAAAGCCGCACTTGTGTATCGAGATGAAAATCAACTTTGAAAATTACAGAGAGATCAGATTAGAAGATGAAAATAAACTTTCAAGGTAGCTTTGGAACTACCCTCCAGCAGTAGGCGGTTTTTTAGGCACTAATATCATAATTTAGATGATGAAATTAAAGTGGCTTTATTCCTTGACCAAAAGTACATATATTAGTGAATACTCCGTATAGCTATTGGATATTTCGAAGAAGTTGAACCATTACAAGTTGAGGAAATTAGCTATAACTTGGTATATGAAGGTGAGAATTGAGAACCGTTTGTTGCACATGGAAATCATACCAAAAAATTCCCAAACCATATAAAAATCTCACCCTAGCACCTTCCGCATCAAAGTTCTTTAGTTTTCAAAGTTGGCAAAAAGGAGTTGGTTATGATGCTGCTAATCAGCTTTGCCTTGGAATTTATTTTAAGTTTGGAACTAAACTAATTGAACCCCCAAAGTGAGATGCACATAGCATAATTTATAAGCCTATCGTAAGTTTCAATGTAGCATGTTATCATACTCTTTAGTAAAGCTCAAATGTTTAGATGACGATCAACGCGTTTAATCTCCCCGCTTGATTTTCTTCTCCCTACTTCCTGTGGTACAAATGCATCATGCATTAGAGGCCAAGTTATTTTCTGCTCATCATCCTTGAGGTACCAAGTTTAGTTACATATTTTTCGTTCATGATGATTGAAGTTGAACTTTTTTAGTGTATCATCTCTTTATGCTAATGGGAACAGGAAAAGGATGAGGTACGAGCGACGAGAGTTGAATTCTCAAAGCAATTAAAGTTGAACTGTGAAAAGAAAAATAAGGTACTGGTAGTCCGGGGCATTTTCAGATCAATGGGCCCTAGGAATGAAGAATAATCATTATTAAAGAAAACATATACAACGAGCACCATATATTATGCAAAATTAGTACATATTGAGCCAACGAGCCCCACGAGAGGCATTATTACCAATAACGTCACTCCAAAAGAAAAAGAAATACGATAAAATATAGGGATTTTGCACTCGCAAACTGCAGTCTGAATACATAATGTTTATTGGGATCTTTCACTTAAGACTACGCGGCATGCTTGCCACTCGCAAACTGCAGTCTGAATACATAATGTTTATTGGGATCTTTCACTTAAGACTAAGCGGCATGCTTGCCTTGTTGGAGGGCAGATCGAAGAGTATCGACCAGTTCTTTTGTTGTCAGGTTGACTTCTTTTTCCGCCTGGAAAAGATTACCACGAGGGATTATTAAATAGTAGAAAAATCTATAAGAAGAAAATTGATTCAAAAGATATCAAACTTTAAATTCGTCCCTAGACCTATATATAAGAAGCTCGCCTCTGCGATAATTGTAACGTCAAGAGCAAAATTCCCAAATGCGGAAACACAAGTATTCACAACAGCAAGATTGAGCTTGTCTATCTGAGAGAGAATTTTGATGAGCACCCCTTTATAATTTTTGCAATGTATTCTTAGAAGAACATTCTTGTCGCACACTTTAGCTTCAAATTCAGGGAGTGGCTGCTCATTCGGGCCAGCCATCTCATCTGAAGATCTTTCATCTTCAAGTAAGAGTTGTGATCTCTTCACAAGCACCACAGACTCCATGGTTTGTCTAGCAGCTTTCTCCTCCAGTGTCTTTACTCTCTCCTGAAGATGTTTTAGGTACTCGATGGCATCTCCAAGAATGGAACTTTTATCCATCTGCACCATTATAAGTTCTTCTCAGAGAAAACTTTGACAAGATTTTGATGTGTAAATTATGTAGTGAAATGTCTATGCATGTGCGTAGTAAAGTCTGTGGGGTTATCATTGTCCGCCATCTATAATGTTTTCTTGATTCGGTAAAGAGCAGAGTGTCAAGTAGAAAGCAAAATATAGGCACATATTTGGCATATGAATGAAGTTGTAGTCAAATAAAATTTCATGGAGATGCTATTGTGGTAACCGTAATTAGGCTACATAAACGTGACAATGACATGAAAAATGACTTTCTCTCAAACCCTAGTTATGGATTATTTTCCTTTTCTTTTCTGCTTTTGGAGAAAATAGATGGTACTGCTCACCTTCTTGAGGCCAGGAACTATGGCGGAAAGAGCCATGAATCTCTGGCTGAGCTGCTCGCGTCGCTTTCTTTCTGCTATTATGTGATCATAGGTTTGTGATGGTGGCCTAACACGACCACCAGGTTTCTTTGCTTTTGTTTGGACGGTAGTTTTAGCAGCCTCATCAAGTTTTGCAAATGAACCATGGGATGTCAAAACCTCAGACACTGCATCATCCTCAGGGTTCAAGGTTCCTAGAGTCACTTGATGAGGATTTATTTCTGGCATATTTGGATTCCCAAAAGTGAGAATCATTGGAGAAGAAGAAGCTTGACCAAAATTTGGCATGTTGTGGATGTTCGACGAGTCGTAGCCATTAGTCTTGTGCTGTTTGGCTGGTGTTTCGAAACCAACAGGATGAGCTTCCATCCCTGAAGGTTCACACAATGCAGGAGTGGAGTTGCAGCTTGGAAAGATATTGGAGAAAGACGGATTCCCTTCTGGAAAAGAAGAGTTTTGGAAGTCGTCGGCAAGCGCAGCAGATAATTCATCGTTCAAGAAGTCCATGATATTAAAGTCATCATTAGACAATGGATCCTCCATTCCCTGTTAATAAGATAAGGCAGCATGTCATGTAAGAATCGTTTATTCAATAAATGAAAGCTTCTTCCTCTGATGTGATCTATACTTTGCGAAAGCCACAACTAGAAATAAAATAAAAGGAAAAGCAAATGCAACAGAATTAAACAGAAGACTCTGCAGTTCATTTAACCGACAATCGATTCCGATGGTTTTCATATGTTTTTGCCTAGTAATGGTCAAGTTAAGCTTGGCTTGTCTTAGTTCAAATAAAAAAAAAGATAAGCCAAAATATTGTGTCAGGTCTCTTTCAGCAAAATTTGGTTTGCCTTTCTGAGAATCCGTTGGGTTGGAATCTAGTATAACCATTTTAAGCTTGACCAAAGAATCTATGCGCTACACAACGAATAAAGCAATTTGCCATCTAACATCCACTCTATATTTCTAAGTTGAAATTAAAGCTATGCCATTATGCCAAAATCATACAATATCTTATATTTTTGGGGACAGCTGCTCTTTCGTGCACCCTGAACGTCCATCTCTGCATGTATTTATCTATTTGTCGTGTAGTCTCTTTGCTCTTGGATTCAATATTCTCCCTCAGTCATACTTTGACCTTTCTACTACACTTCACCATTCGTAGTAAACACGAACAGAAATGACGAAGAAAGAAAGAGGAGGAGATATATTAAATATCTTCACAGGACTGATAATGGAGAAAGAAAACTTGTCAAAGATAAAGAAAGGGAAGACATCAATAGTATTATTTCGCATGACTGAAATCTGTTACCAGTTGAGAAAACCACGAGCTCGCTGAATTATCCATCAACAAAGACTACTTGAAAAGATGTCAAATTTCTGCAAAATGGCCATTTACAGAAAACAAAAGGGGCAGAACATTTAGACAAGAGCAAAACCCAACCTAAGATTATGAAATGTTGTCAGAAAAAAGAGCTCCTAGCAAGATGAGGGAACCTCACCTCTTTCAAGTTTCAACACTCCTGCTGCTAAGGGCTTCTCAATCAAGAAAAGAAGTTTTTGGCATCTTATATAGAGGTGGTAAGTAAAGAACAATTATTGGAAGAAGGCATAAAATCCGGAGTTTTATATAAGCGCTTCAAAAGCAGCCCTTCGCGCTCAAATATAAGGTTGGAGCCTCCTTCAGTGGAGTGCAGAGGGTAAAGAATGGAGCGGAAACGCATAGCTCCTGCGTCGTAAACAAATTGAACCCTCAAGGAACAGTTCGGATTTGATTCATTACTGGGTCGATTCGAGTTTGATTTTTAACAAATTTGACCTCAAATTTGAATAGGAATTACAATTCATTTATAGTACCAAATCGAGTTTGAACTTGTAGATATTCAACTCGTTACGGCTCGATTCGATTAGAATAATTTTTAATATTTTTATTTAAGATATTTGTTAATATTTTATATCAATTATGTATTTATTATTTTATTATATAGATATTATATGTATATTAGTGTAAATTTAATATTAAAATTGAAGAATTAAATAAATTTTTGAACTCTCAAATCGAGTTCTAACCCATCAGAGTTTTAAATCGAATCGAACTCGAGTTTAGATTTTAAGCTTATATAGGATTTGAGTTCAAATTCAAATTCGAATTCAAAATTTTAAATTGAGCTCAAACTATGAAAAGTTCTATTCGATTCGATTCATTTACAGTCCTAACACTAACCAATATATGAGCTACATACAATATATGCATGTCACCTATGATTGATTTTAGGGGGTAGTCCGCGCATGTGCTAATTTTGCACCATGACAAGATAAATTATTTGCTCGATACTGGGTTGGTAGTGGAAGAACTATTCAAGGGATAGATGTTTAAAAGTTTAGAATTTTGCACCATGTAAAATCAATGCTATCATCAAAATGTGTCAGAAGATACAAACAGCTGAAAACCGAGGAAACGTCTCCCTCCACTAAAGATTATGGTTGTTAATATAATATCATCACAAATTAATAATAATAAATTCTTTAAAAAAAAAAGGGGTAGAAATACTGGAGGAGCAGAAGAAGAGGCTGATGATGATGATGATGATCTGCTATGGAGTAGCATTACGGGGAGGGATAGAGAGAGGGTCCCCTCTTTCATTATTGATTGCTCTTTTGTCTTTCTTCTTTCTCATTTCCTTTTTTCTTTCCAATATCTTGAATTGGTATTTTTTGTGGCTGGATGATAGAGTTTGAAGATAAAGCAATTAAAAGGCCAAGTAGCACATATGGCGAACCCCATGACACCTACTTAATGCCCAAAAAAGTTATAATAACATTGCATCTACTTTTTTTTAATCAATAAAGTGAGCTTCAATCAAGAAAATCTAATTCCTACTAATATCATACTATGTCTAATTGCCTCTGTTTTTATGCTCTTGATTTCAGCTTAGCCATCTGTATTTGAAATTTGAAATTTGAAATTTTCAACCTACAATTGTTTAATTAGACATTACCTACCGCAAAAAAGAAAATTAAAATGATAGCATAGCATCGTAACTACCCAGCATATATAATCTTCTTCTAGTATCCATTGATATTGTCCTTGCTGAATGCTGGCCACCGAGCAAATTCATACTATTTTAAACATACTATTCAAGGGATAAATTATTTACTCGATATTGGGCGTTGAGACTTCTGTGAGTTGTCTGACCAGCCATGCAAGATATATGACGGTCGAATTTTCTTATTTTAGCTAGTAAGATTGTTTAGAGTTTGCATAAACAAGTTGGTAAGATACTTGCATAAACCCTAAGCTTCACAAATATTGAGTTCTTATCCACAGGACCACCTAGCACGCCTAGCTCATGGAGAGTCTTCTGCCCGCGAACGTGAATTGCCTTTCTTAAGCGTGATCACTTAGCGTGGGCACGTCTAACTACTGGGTAGTTTTCTGTCCGCCAAATTAAAACTTCCTTCCTTAGGCGTGACCACTTAACGTGGGCACATCTAACTGCCAGCTTCCTGCCACAAAAACAACAACTCACTAAGTGCAACTAACACTTAACAAAAACTTCATAAACATAAGAAAACTAAAACAAAGAGTCTTGGGTTGCCTCCCAAGCAGCGCTTTTCTTTAACGTCTTTGGCTAGATTTGGCCGGAACTCTCAAGCAGGATAAATTGGATTCTCGAGTTGTATGAACTCGACTTCTTCAACGGAGAATCCTTCATAGTAAGGTTTGAGACAATGGCCATTCACCATGAACTTCTTCTCCGTTTTCAAACTTTGGATCTCCACTACACCATAATGAAAAACATTAGAAACGACAAATGGACCAATCCAACGGGAACGCAATTTATCGGGAAAGAGTTTAAGTCTCGAGTGATACAAGAGAACTTTTTGCCCCAATACAAATGATTTTCTTGAGACTTGTTGATCATGAAAAATCTTGCTCTTCTCCTTGTAAATCATTGCATTCTTGTATGCCTCATTCCTAATCTCTTCCAGCTCTTGTAGCTATAATTTTCTATGGACCCCCGCTTCCTTAAGATTCATATTGCACTGTTTCACTGCCCAGAATGCCTTATGCTCGAACTCTACTGGAAGATGGCAAGCCTTACCGAAGTCTAGTCTATACGGGGACGTCCCAATCGGCTTCTTATACGCGGTGCGGTAAGCCCATAGTGCATCTTCCAATTTCAAGCTCCAATTCTTTCTATCCGGACGCACCATCTTCTCCAAAATTGACTTGATCTCCCTGTTTGACACTTCGGCTTGACCATTGGTCTGTGGATGATATGGCGCGGATACTTTGTGGAGTACGCCATATTTATGGAACAGAGCAGCAATAGTTTTATTACAAAAATGTGATCCCCTGTCACTCACTACAGCTCTCGGTATCCCAAAGCGGACAAAGATGTTAGACTTTAAAAATTCTGCAACCACTCTAGAATCGTTAGTCCGAGTGACTTTCGTTTCCACCCACTTGGAAACATAATCAACAGCAAGTAAGATGTATAAGAAATCAGAAGACAAGAGAAAAAGACCCATGAAATCTATACTCCAAACATCAAAAATTTCAACAAACAACATGGGGATTTGAAGCATTTGGTCCCTACGAAAAATATTCCCCACCCTTTGACACTTATCACAAGATTTACAGAATAAACATGCATCTTTAAAAAGGGTGGGCTAATAAAAATCACTTTCCAACACCTTACGAGCTGTTCGCTTTGACCCAAAGTGCCCTCCATATGCAAATGAATGACAAAAAGTCAAAATAGAGTGGAATTCACCTGCACTTACACACCTTCTTAGCACTTGATCCGAACATTGCCTCCAAAGGTAAGGGTCGTCCCAAATGTAGTATTTGGCATCACTTTTCAATTTGTCTCTCTTAGCCTTTGGCCAGTCTGCAGGTAATTGATTAGCTACTAAAAAATTCACAATATCAGCATACCAAGGTGCAGACGAATCAATGGTAAGTAATTGTTCCTCTGGAAATGCTTCTCTCAGTGGCTGATCCTCCTTATATGTAAGCAAGCGGCTCAAGTGATCAGTGACCAGGTTCTCTGCCCCACTTTTATCTTTAATCTCCAAGTTGAACTCTTGCAGGAGCAGAATCCATCTTATGAGCCTTGGTTTTGCATATTTCTTCGTCAACAAGTACCTTAAGACTATATGATCAGAGAAAACTATTACTTTTGCACCCAATAAATAAAACCTAAATTTCTCTAGTGCAAAAATAACAGCTAATAATTCTTTCTCCGTCGTAGAATAGTTAAGTTGAGCTCCATTCAATGCTTTCGATGGATAGTAAATTGCATGCGCTGCCCTGCCAACCCTTTGTCCCAACACTGCTCCCACTGGGTAATCACTCGCGTCGCATATTATTTCAAATGGGAGGCTCCAGTATAGGGGTTGAATGACGAGTGGTGACGTCAACGACTCCTTCAGTTTATCAAATGCCACCTTGTATTCATTAGTGAAGTCAAATGCTACGTCTTTTTGCAACAGTTTGAACAAGGGCGCTCCAATCTTTGAAAAATCCTTGATGAATCTCCTATAGAATCCTATATAACCCAAAAAGGAACGGACTTCCCGTACACTTACGTGATAAGATAAAGCAGAAATAAGGTCTACTTTTGCTTTATTGATAGGTTGCAATTTTTTCATTTATTTTGTAATTAATTTCCCCTATTACCTTACCAAATGTGGATTAATTGTCAGATTCTACTAACTTTTGGTAATTTGTAATTATTGCAGGGAGTGGAATGATAGGTCGCGATTTTGTCATTTATTTTATGATTAATTCCGTCCTATTATCTTACCAAATGTACATTAATTGGCGAATTCTATTTACTTTTGGCATTTGTACTGATCACAGGGATTTGGAGCAAAATGTGGTAAAAAGGTGAAAATTTACCAAATATGATTTGAACTGACAAAGGTAGTTCAGCACAAACAAGAAATGTGTCAACTAGGAAATCTCCTAGTTTGTTAGCCGCGGTTAAAGAGGAGATAGAGGTCAATTGCGAGGAGGACTCCAGGGAGCCTTGGGAGAGCCAGCCACCACAAGCAAAAAAAGTAGGAAGAAAGCTAGTTTCTCGGCTGATTCCTACTTCTTTTCTTTCGATAGTATGAGGAATATATAATCCCAATTAGGAGACAATTGAGTCAGAGAGGGCTTTGCCATCTTTGCCTTTCTTATGTTGTTTCTATTGTGTGCCGCAGAGGAAGGGACAAGAGACATTAGTCATCTTTTGACTTAGGGGTTTTTCATTACTTCTTGTTTTTATTTCTTTGAATTGTTATCCCCTGATTGGAGGACAATGTATTCAACAACTACTTTTGCAATTTCGCATGGGATTTTCTCCTCAACGGGGATGAACTAATCCCTTTTTCTAGTCAAGGAACAACGGAGGCTTTGGTTCATCTAAAAATTGTGAGATCGAATTAATTTTATTTATTTCTTTTATTTACTGGTATTTGCATATTCTCTATTTACAGTGCTTATGGTTATTTTGTTAATTGAATATCCTGGGCCCGGACGTTGAATTAGTTTAGCAACCTAATGTCAATTAAAGCATTAAATTCGTAATTATTTAACTGCTCTAAAATAGTGACAACTGGTATGATTAGATTCGTGTCAGGAAAATACGCAGGCTAATCTAAAATAACCCTAGTAGTGTGTTATTTGGTTAAAATAAGGCTCCTCTAATACGTAAGGCAATTGAGGAATTAAATCTTACGAGCGTACCTAAGGTTATTTCTCAATTAGAGTAGTAATTGACGGGTGTACCTCAGTCATCGACCTAGTAAGGAGGAGTTGACTGTCATCGCTTGTTTGGCAGTTATAACTTATTTATTAGTTAATAATTGGAATTATTTCTGCATCGATGATCAATTAGTTGAACCATTGCCGAAGTTGCTTCTTGACTAGAGCTGTCCAATACTATTTGACTTTTTAGCTTATTGCTATTTAATTCTTATTTAACTGCAATATTTGATTAGCGTAACTTATTGTTAATTTCCCTAAAATCCCCCCATAACTTGAACTTTAGTAGAAACGAATTACTCCCAGTCCCTGTGGATTCGACTCTACTTGCCCTATATATAAATTAACAAGTTCTCGGGAATAAATTCTGGTATATTGATTTAGCAAACTCTTCGAAACCAGGATGAATCTAGTAACCCATTGCACATTCAGAGTCCCTACTCCAATTGACTCGAAACTGCTTTTGTTGGCAACTAAATTTATTTTTATTATTGCATAGGCATCGACAACCCGTCATGGAACAAAATATGATAGGTGTCGATCTGTGCAATAATAATTACTAAAAAGTCCCAATTACCATCACAATTAATTATAGAACAAATCCAAGTACTGGAGCAAGGGCCCTAGGTGTGCAATGGGTTATTTGATTCACCCTGTTCTCGAAAAATTTGTTTGATCCGATATACCAGAATTGTTTATAAAAGTATTAAATTTGCATACAATGGCAAGTAGGGTCGATTCCACAAGGAACTGGTAGGAAGTTGTTTCTTCCCAAGTCAATAGAACAAAATTGGGGGATATTTAATGGAATGAAAATGAAAATAAAATAAATAAAATTCAAAAGCTAACTCACCGAGTACAATTCACTAAAAATAGCAATTAGTAAAATTCTACCCAAAGGATCAACTTTTCATGCACGGTCCAATTAAATGATCATCGATGCAAAGATATTTCATTCATTTGTCACTAGGTTGGTTACAACTATCAACAAACTCTGACAGCCAGTTTTTTCTTACTTTTTCGACAGCCAAGGTACGACCGTTGACTGTTTCTCTAACCAGAAAATAACCCTAAGTACGACCGTAAGAATTTAATTATCCAGTTGCATTAAAACTTGAAAAACCCAACCCTAACTAATAAATACGCTAAAAGAGTTTATTTAAATTAGATCTTACGTTTCCCCAACATAAAGTCAATTATGATGGTTGTCATTAGTTATCAACTAAACAAACAATTACGGATTCAATTTAGTTAACGTGACAGTAGGCTATTAGATTAAATTAAATATCCGGCCGTTGATATTCAATTAATAAAATAACCATAAATAGTTAATCCAGGAAACGCACGAATAGTAACGGATTGGAAGAAATAGTGAAAGTTCGATTAGATCTCACAGATGTTATGGACCGCGCCTTCGCTTCGACCTTTGGGTAGAGGAGAAACCTAGCCGCTCCTCATCATATCAATCTCGCGTGATTTGATTGATTCCATCCACACAATTACTGAAGAATTGGGAAATATGAAAATAACGAAGGAACAAAAGAGAAAGTCTCTTAGTTTCTTTTTCTTGTTTCGTGTCCGTTCGGAGAAAAAATGAAGCAAAGGTCTAATGAAAGTCGTACAAACAAAAGCAGAGAGCAAAAATCGTCTAACAGCAAAAACTAAAAGCCAATCTACTAATCTCACGTGAATCTGGCTTTTTAGCCAATTCTCCCAAAGTAGCCGCTGAAAAGAAAGAAAGCGTCAGAGCTTACTACTTTCTCTAAGAGAAGAGTTTTAATCCTCTGCACCTCCGCGGCCCACGAGCCTTTTGATTTCCTAATTTCCCACTTTTTCTACCACTCCCGCGGGGTCCGTCTTTTAGGCATCTTTCTACAGTTTCTGGCGTGGGCGCTGCCCTGAAATAAAAAGTCTTCTGGAAATTTACCCCGAGATACCACTTTTAACACCAATCACCTGCGATTTACACAAATATCAAATATGAGAAAAATCTCAATATTTAGCACAGTAAGTAGCCAAAATTATGACCAAATAACAGAGCAAAAGGTGCCCAATAACTGCTCTATCAAAATACCATAAAAAGGTGCCAATTTGACGGTAGCTAGCAGAAGAGTTTTAGTGGTAACAGGAGACACGAGACCAATTGAAGACAAAATTGAAGATTGTTTCCTTATCTAATAAGGAAAATACGGCAGACTAGTGCGACAAGACTCTTTCCCTTTGTTTGCTCCTGTAGCCGTATAGCAGGAAATTAAGGAGAAAAAGTAGCAGTAGAATTTTGACTCCTTTTTGGTTTTGGACAATTTCGTCTTTTAGTGGCCTAGAGTCCACGTATGTTAGGCACTTAGGTAGAAGCAATTAGTCATCTTTTGACTTGGTAGTTTTTCGATTGTTCTTACCCCATCTTTTTTTCATCTCAATTTCGGAGACAATGGCCGCAACTGTTTCTAAATCTTATACGGATTTTCCTCAACAGGGATGAATTAATCTCTTTTTCTAGTCAAGGAACAACAGAAGATTTGATTCGGTTTAAATTGTGATATCTAACTGATTTTAGTTTTCCTATTATTTCCTGGTATTCGCATATTTCTTGCGTTATTTTCTTATGGTTATTGTATTATTCCATTATCTTAGGATCGGATGTTAGATTAATTCAATAACCTAGAGCCAATTAGAATAATTAAATCCGTAATTGTTTGATTATTCTAAATTAGTGGCAACTGACTTAATCAGGGTTATGTCAGGGAAATATACGGGTTAATTTCTAAACAACCCTCGTAGCGTGTTGTTTGGTTAGAACAGGATTTCTCTAAATCTTAAACCAATTGTGAAATTTAATTCTACGGTCGTACCTAGAATTATTTTGCAATTAGGGCAATGGCTAACGGTCGTACCATATTTATCGATAATTAAGGAGAAATTGATTGTCATCACTTGTGTGACAATTATAACTTGTAAATTAGTTTATATGTGGAATTACTCTTGCATCGATGATCAATTAGAGGAACCATTTCTGAAGTTGCTTCTTGACTAGAGCTATCCAATACTGTCTGAGTTTTTACCTTATTGCTATTTAATTCTTAATCAGCTGCAATATTTGATTAGTATAGCTCATTGTTAATTTTCCTAAAAATCTCCCATAACTTGAACTTTAATAGAAACGAATTACTCACAATCCCTGAGGATACGACTCTACTTGCCCTATATACAAATTATAGATTTCTCGTGAATAAATTCTGGTATATCGGGTTAAGCAAACTCTTCGGAACCAGGGTGAATCAAGTAACCCATTGCACATCTAAAAATCCCTACTCCAGTACTATTCCCCTACCCGACACTACATGTCCTAAGACGATACCATATTCCACCAGAAAGTGACATTTTTTTCAGTTAAGAACCAAGTTTGTCTCTATACACCTTTTTAAAATTAGAGTTAGATTGTCAAGGCATTCATCAAAACTGTCCCCATATACACTAAAGTCATCCATGAATATCTTAATGATCTTTTCTACATACTCGAAGAAGATACTTACCATGCACTTTTGGAAGGTCGTTGGAGCATTACAGAGGTTGAAAAGCATCTTACAGTAAGCGAAAGTACCAAATGGGCAGGTGAATGTGATTTTTTCTTGGTCATCCGGTGCTATCGCGATTTGGAATTACCCTGAAAAACCATTCAAGAAACAGTAATAAACACGACCAGCCAACCTCTCTATCATTTGATCAATAAAAAAGAGAGGAAAATAGTTCTTTTTCATCACGGCATTTAATCTCCGATAGTCGATGCACTGGCGCCATCCTGTGGGTTTCCTGATTGGAACCATCTCGCCTTTCTAGTTCTCTTCTACAGTTACTCCTGCCTTTTTCGGGACTACTTGAACGGGGTTCACCCACGGGC